AAAACCAGTACCGGAGCAACAATCTACATTTCGGTGATGAGGGAGGCATCCAAAACATTCTCAAATTGGCGCTCAAGGTGTTTAGAAGACCGTACATTATCACTGAACCAGACTATGTCATAACTGTACTCCATGTCTACTGAGTCTCCTGTAGCAAGGCCAATCTCCGCAATATCAGTCGATGAGTGAAAGACCTCCATAAAAATGTCTGTGATGAAGTTATGTAAGGATGGAGAGAGTAGGTATCATTGAGAGGTAGTACTATATGTAAACAAGTTAATTAATGCCTCACTATAGGCTCTATCATGCCCACAAGTACTCCAGTACAGAGTCTTACCAAGGATAGTGTACTTGCTCAGCACGTCTCGGCCGACAAAGTTAAACCCCACCATTAGGTTGAGAAATACTGTGGAGAGTAAACATCTGTTGGATATACTGATAGCATGTTTAGAAGTTACGTAGTTTTCACTGTTCCTGACCTTCTCTTGAGCGTCTTATGATTGTAGAACTTAAGGTTTTAACACTAAATTCATCGGACTAATTCTGCTGCAATTTTCAAAAGACGGATCTCTCTCAGTAAACTGGAGCTACTTTCACATAACTGATATTATTTGTAACCAATAAATAACTAGCCAGTTTCACGCTGAAAGAGACATATTGTTCTCATCCCTGAGTTGCACTCGCAATAGACATCCACATCCATTTAGACAAAGACATACACCTGCACGAACCAACTCATGATCGCTGTGCAAACAAATGTTCCAGAAAGAGTGGTGTTGTTCCAGTGACAACTGATAGCGATTCGGTCTCTATATTAGCCAGTGTGTCGAGGTTGGTGAATACCACCATATGACGCAATGACTCTCTCTATGTCTGAATTTTGAGCTGACCAGAAATAAGTGGTTGTCTGAGCACAGTTGTAGCAGGTGATCGCCGTTATCCTTTTGTTCGTCAGGGATTCCGAAAGAGCCACCCAAGTGGCTTTTTGCCTAAAGTAGCCAACTCATTTTTAGATTGGAATTACCCGCTATGGCAACAGTGTTTGAACATTTAGATTTCAGTAGAATGCTAGACAGTGTAAAGTGGAACTCATCGGAACTGCAGTTAGTGGGTGCGAGAGCATAGAATGAAAACAGACAACGTCGGTTTCTTTTTCATCCCTTTTAGTCCTCACTGCGCCACTCAGTTTAACAGCACACAGACAACTGTCATTTGCGATCCAGTCGAGTAGAGCACTTTTTGCCTTAGCAACCTTCAGTCAGGATTGAGAGATTATTACCATAGTTATTTATTGTTCATGGCCTATCATCCATGTATAAACAAACAACCCAGCTGCTCACGAATTTCCATGCAAGTACGAAAGTTCTCATTCACATGCAACGCAAACTATAAAATTCATTCTATTCGTTGTTCAGAATAAGTTTAGCCTGAAGTAAATCTGAATTTTTAATAATGCAGTTCAAGGTTAATCATAATCAGTATAATGACGGATTTAATGCTGTTGTGGCACATCGGTCGATACTAGGACACTGTTTTACTATAGAATCTTTTAAAAGTTTTTTGACAGCTGAAGAGCACAGCATCAAAATATCGTTATGATTACCAACTGTGTTAACCAGTCATTTTTAAATTTAAACAAAAGTGTATGTGGTTTTCGCTCCATTATCTATTTTGCTAAAACCTTTGAATATGATTTAGTGTAACGCACATTGTGTCCTTTCATTTTTATTTCGTTTGTCATCACCTATACTTCGATAGCACCTTACAATCTAGAGACATTTTGTTATTGAAATAAAAAAAGTTGATCTTAATGTCAATATATCTTCCATAAGGTCAGTCAGATAAAACAGCTCTAGACTTACAATTCATATGTGGAGTCCATTTGTTTTTATTAGGTGGTGTGGCGGACAGGTCAAATGAAATTGCTTTTTGAAGTGAAGTAGTTCAAAGACTACTTGAGTGAAAGATAGTCATATGCTTAGTGTGATTTGAATACGTTTAATCAATAACTAAGATAAAGGTACTATAATGTTGGTGTGAACAGCATGTGATATATATATATATATATATATATATATATATATATATATATATATATATATATATATATATATATATATATATATATATAAATCAATACAAGCGAGGCGTCACATGCTATTCACACCAACATTGTATATATATCTTCTGCCATACTTGGGGAAACTGGATTAGGTTAGAAGAGGGTTCAAAGTGGCGCGACCTAGATATGTCACAAGTCGATGAAGTACCTAACTGTTAGTTTGAGATGTGTGGGGAGATTTGAACTACCTGACCAAGGTCCCTATTACAAAAGGAGCTAGTGGTTGAAGACTGTTTATGATATGGCTGAAAATCAGTCCTAGTGGCGCAAATGTATTCACTCTTTGATGTCTTCTAAAGCTTGAATATTCGCACTGCAAACTGCTTATTTTCTCACACAGCTTTGTACACTTTGTTATCACTCTTATTCTATCCATCTGTTCTTTGTATACAACTATGAAGTGTGGCAATTTGAACCGATGTACTTGTGTACGACGTTCTACGTTGATTCTGCCTGTCTAGTAATCCGGGGAGTTGATAACAGAACTTTTTACAAAAAATGGAACCTGCGGTTTTCTATTCTACGATTAAGAGACTAGGCACTTTTCTGCGGTTTTCCATCAAGCTTGCTGAGGCTGTAACCGCTTGTTCTTCAGCGACCAAATGAAGATTTTTCGTTATTATTCTTCATTAGTTGACTTTAGAAAATTAGCGAAGGCATAACTGGACTTGGTGGTCATCATCATTGTATTGAAGGGTTTTAAGTTATACACAAGATGTTTCAAATATAGCTTCATTTTGGACTAAGCATTCGATTTAAGACTATTTGGTCACAGACTCGAACCCTGGTCGATCTCACAATATTTAGAAAACCAGCGAGTATCATTTGACCTTTCATAATGAGTATGAGTAGGACATACTTGTTCTTGTTTACCCAGTTAGTTCTGAAAATGTCAACCCTGGCGATGAAAATTTCACAACAAAATATCGAAACTGAGAGAACATAGCATCATCATCCTCCTAATCCTGAACTGAATATCTTTGGCATCATTTCAGACTAAAAAGTCTCTTTTCGGAATGAGCTTGTTAAGATTTATCACGTGAGATAATCAAATCAAGTTATGTTTGTGAATGATATTTGATATATTTCTCCCCCTTTTTTTGGCTTATATAAGGTATTGCCAATCGGACTAGTAAAACGTTTTGTCAGATCGTATGTTAATAATTTCTGCCCCTTTAGGTTCGTATGTAAAGCAGTTAGCACAAGTTTTGTTTCTTCTTTATCCAGTAACATATAGACACATATGTTGTGTTAACTAAACTTCCATTACGGCTTTACCCACATCCCCGTGAAACCTTATTTATGATTTCGTTTTAACCTCTATAGACTGCAGGAGGTGTGGAAACTTAGGGGGGGGGGGGGGAATGATAATAAGCAGTTTTCGAAAATGTGCGCATCTTTTGGTATCAATCTAAGAGATCATTTCACCCAGTGACCCTAGAGTCAACATGTTCGCAACAATGCAACGCAACAGATTTCTCTAGTACTTTTTCTCATCTGATTCCATATAAAAGAAGAAAATTAACAGCCAGTATACCTCCTTGATAATGCTGTATACTTAAATGTGAATTCCGTGTAAAAAATCCATAGCTAATGAACGAGTTTTTCTAAAGTTTATTCCTTTGCACCACAATTGTTTCTACTGGCATAAATGTATATTGCTGTGTATGATGACACGACGAGTAGGAAATGTGTTAACTCAGAGATTCACCTGGATTACATGATTATGTGGACACTTACTGGTACCTGAAATCGGTGGAGTGAGTTCTTGTTGAGCAGTGAAGCTATAAACATATAAATATAAATAAACATATAAATAGATGTTTATCTGACGAAACAGACGGGTCAAGCACGTCAGCCACTTGTAACGCAAACATAGAATATTACGTGACCTTGATGTCACCTATGGGTGAAAAAAATAACTGAAAGTAATCTGAACTCATAAACACTGTGTGTGTACTGAAAAGTGATATTTTCTTCCTTTCATAACTTGCTGACACTTTTGATATTATGATAGAGTTTAATGTCCTTCCTTCTGTACCATTCAGGATCGATCAAATGTTGTAGATTTCTCAACCATTATCAGTTTGATGATATTGTTCTCTCATGTTAAATTCATATTAGAATAAAATATTTGTCATTACTATTATTGAATCATTGTTATCATTTGTATCAAGAATGAAAATACAGGCAATGTCGAGGCATCCGTGCAAGAGCCCATTTCCCAATAGAGACCGATCAATTCGGTTCACTCAACGATATCATCATCTTTATTTACTGATTTAATAAGTATCAGCTGATTTTACGAAAGGTATTTCGAATGTATAAGAAAGGAAAAATAGTCTATCATACCGAAAAAAAAATGTATACCCTCAATTAGTATGGCTCATAATGATGCATAGAAATCGTATATAGGTTTTTTAAATGCGGGAAGCTCTCACAAATTTGCAGCCCATTAAAGAGGTTTGATAAGTCCATCTCATTCAGTTCACAAGCATAATGCTCATGCATTACAAATATCCCTTAGGATATGTTATTGAGTCTAGAATGAAATTCTTTGCATCTATTTCTCTGAGATATATTTTCATTTGTTATCTATGAAAGACAATACACTGAATCAAAATTTGAAAATGTCCGAGTCGTACAGTACATTCTGTTAACAGCAAGAAGTCCTTTATTTTTATTTTCGGCTTTATTATTAGAGTGAATATTAGTAGTTAGCCGAATCGTTCTCATTGCGTCCTAGGTTGTTTGCTCATTTATTTGAAGCAAGAATACACTTGGTAAGATACACAAATGTATTCATTTAAATACTTGTCCATTCTCTGGTAATTGTTACCACATTAAATTTATCGATGACTTCGTTTTCTTCTTGCAGCATTTGCCAAAGATGTATTCGTAAAATGGATCATCATTGTCCCTGGGTGAATAATTGTGTCGGTGAAGGAAATCAAAAGTATTTCATTTTATTTGCTGTAAGTTGTTTGCAATAACTGCTACACATTTTATAAGCTTTATATATCGGCGCTCAACTTCTTCCACGACAGTCGTAACAATTATCGCCTAGATGGTTATAATTTGTGTGTATCTATCTAATTGGCCATTTATTTGTTTTCGGTTCTCAGTCATTAAATTAATCGCTATTTAATTTAACAGTTTGTAACCGTGTTTAAAACAGGTTGAGACTGAAAACTTCTATTGCTGTGAAATTTCCTTCAAAAACAGTTTTGTAATGGATCTGAAGGCTTTTTTTCGAAAAGATTTAAGTGTCATCTTAATGTGATATTTAATTCTGCTTGTCAATGTAAGCCACTTTAGTCCATCTTTAGTCCTCACATAATAGGTGTGTACGAGCTTGTACATGGTTGTTGACTTCATACCCATTTACAAATGCTTACACATTCACATCTTCACCTTGAACTCATGGTGTAGTAATTAATGACAATAACGTTTAATCTCATTTGTATATGCATGTATGAACAATGTGATCGGTTTCGTTCGTTTTTGTCGCTAAATCTTTCTTTTAAATAACTAACAACATCTGATCCAACAAACGAATGCAACTTAAGCCACTGGTATCTTTCTGTATACCTCAACCAATGATACTTTTTTGGTATATTCTTATTATCGGCTATTATACCTCAACAAATAAATGTATTCATAAGTATTTTTTTCCATTGGGTTCCTGAAGAACATAGAGCTTCAGTAGCACGTCGTCATTTCACTCTGTTATCTGCAGTCTTTCGAACCTGACTCCACAACTCCCTGTAAAGCTTTCATTTCTTCGTCACATGATCTCCTCCATGTCACCCTCGTCACGGATGCCCAACTCGTCGTTTCTCACTTGGGTTCCACTCGACGACCTGGCCTGACGATTGATGTCCTCAAACGGTCTTCTCAGTGTATGTCCAATCCAATCTATCTCCACTTTCTTGTGCATATTTGTTGGGCGATAGGTTGTTGGTTGGTTCGTTGCCAGTCAGTCAGTCGGCCAGCCAGAGTTCCTTGTTGCTTATTGTTATTATTCTGGCCATCTGATCTCCATCTTCAGTATCAAGTGAGCGTAGGCGTCAGGTGTTGATGTATGTCTGTAGTTTGTTGGGAATGCTTTTCGTAACGCGCCAAGTCTCTAAACCACCACCACATGGAAGCACTGACTTGACTGAGATTAGTGTTTACAATCCGGATATTGTTCTTTATGCTGAGTGGAGTGGAGTGGAGTGGAGTGGATCTGCATACTGATTTCAGATTGATGAAGGGCTGGCTGTCTTGCTGTCTTTCCGATCCTGGCTTTGACGTCTTCATGTGTGCGTCCTGTAGTTGAAAGGATGCTGCCTAGGTAGTTGTGAGGTAGGTGGAAGAGACAACTTCCTTTAGGTTCCTCTTGTTGATGGTGATTTATGCTTGTTGTTGTTGTTGGTGGTGGTGGTGGTGTTAGTGTTGGTTGGGTATCTTCATCACGTGTGTCTTCTCTACGTTTACTTGAAGTCCCGTCTTCGCTGCCTCGCCGCATCTGCCAACTTGTTAGTTTTCACCTGTAGGTGTTTGAGTTTGTGCGATGAGACATTCGACATAAATGATCATCATCATCGGCGAAATCTAAATCTTCTCCTGGGGTCTTTTCATCGGTCAAACAACGTATGCCTGTCTGCTAACAGCTTGTCATAGTTTGTTGTATGATCCAGTCCAGTCCAGTCCAGTGCATTCCATTCCAGTTGACCACAATGAGGAAGATCATCTGCACTAGTAGGTAACCTTGTTTTACTGCTGTCTTCACTTGAAAGACGTCAGTGAGCTATCCATTGTGAATCACTTGGCACGTAGCATCATGTAGCATATAGCTGTTGGATGAGGTTGATAAAGGTCTGTGGTACTCCGTAGTGTTGAAGCAGCTGCCTGTCAAATTACTTGTCAGTCGACACTGTCGAAGGCCTTTTCAAAATCGAAGGAGTTGAGGTATGGCAGACTGGCATTGTATACTCTGTTTTATGATGATGATGCTTAGTGTGGCTTCGGAATTTAGTCCACACATGATTTGTTGTTGCTGAAGCCAGGCAGTCAGCCTGCTGCTGTGGTAGTTTTGAATCGAGAGCATTTTCATTTTAGTCTCTGCAGGATGACGCGGCTTAGTATTTTGCTTTTGGTGGAGAGGAGCATGATTCCACCCCAGTTCTTGCAAAGACTTGGGTCTTCCTTGTTTAGGAGTTTGACAAGGTAGCCCTTCTTCCAATCAGTGGGCATCCAAGTTTGGCATTTATGTCCCATTCAGTCGTCCATAGAATTCCTCCTTCTTCTGTCGATGTGCATTATTTGTAGGTGCTTAGCGTAGCATTGTATGATTGTGACGTTCCTTCCTTTTGAGTTGAATCTTGCTGTTATGATCCTGGAGGAGATTGGTTCCAACTGCATGAGAAAGAGGGAGTCTCCGCTGGTGTTGGGGACATCATGCTAGCCACTGTAAAAGTGAGTGTGCTCGTGGTTGTCATCTGTGTGACAGTGTCGGAGTAGATTATTGACTCTGCTGTTGACAGTTTGGAGTGTCCACTTCTACTTTACCTGCTTTCACAGATTCCTAGCCTAGCACTTCCATACTATACCTCCTCATCTCTTTTGCAATCTGCGTAGCTTTGGTAGGTTCATACATGGTGCGGACATTCTATGTCTGCTTTTTTTCTCTTTCATCGAGAGAAGACATATCGACCGATTGGTTTCTCTAAGGCTTCCACCAATTCGGGTCATTTCATCTCTCTGATTCCGGCGACGAATAAGTTTGTCTTTATTTTTTATATTTTGTTTGTGCTTAGATGTTTCTTTAGCGATTGGATTGGTTTTACGTGTAGGGTTGCTAGCCGTACACCCAACCTTCCCTCTTTAACCGGGCTTAGGACCGGCTAGTAACTAGTGAACTAGTGAACCAGGTGAGGTTAACAAATTTATTTACTTCACTATATTTGTTTGTTTGACTGGCAGCCAGATATGAATATGTATGGTATTGGTTCGTAAGGTCGGAACTAGATACTTTTTATCCATATCGAAATTCCATAAACAAGGCGGCAAGTGGTCAGCGTGTTCAACTCTTGTACTTCTCATCCTAATCGTGAAACGTTATTTTGTAAGTGGAATAATTCGCGAAAATTCCCATTTTTTTCCTTTTCTAACACCACTATGTTCAGCAACAAATGTGAAGGGAGTAGTGGTGGATAGTGGCTAGCGTCGGAATTCAGGATGCGCTTTTCGTCCTATTTGGGACTCGTCAGCCGGATATACCTGCCTCCCAGAGAGCTATGCTGTTCTTACTGGGACTCGAACTCGGTCAATTCGGTCCACTCAACGACGGGATAATCCAAGTAACAACACAAATGTAAATTGAATTTGAGTAATTGTAGTAACAGCAGACATCAGTTGTCTTCACCTGACATGACAACTATCATTAAGCGGATCCATGAATTCCGTAGTTTGTGTAGAAATCCTTTGATGAGATGATTTGCTTATTCAGAACGTTTACTACAATCCGATACTGCCACAACTCTTGGCTAGCATATTCATATTCTGATTTTGGGTTAAGGAATATAGCTGGTATGAAGTGTCAGTAATCAAATCAACGTACACTTTTCCAGACCATAAACATCTATAGTTCTCATAGGTTTGTTGCTTTTTGGAGCTCCATCTGTGGATCAGTTGACTGTTATTTTCAAAACTTTCAAATCTATATTACTGAATTTTGTTCATCTGTTGTTGTTACAAGATTACTTTTCCTTATTGTGAACCAGATCTACATCAATTGGGTAGGATTATCTGTTTTTCTCCTTAAGCAAGTACCACCTAACTTGATTTAACTAGTGATTTCTGACCATCAGGTTCAAGTACGTCTGAAAGCCAAGTTATTTTATCCTACTTTATCTCAGCTTTTATTTTATTAGTACCGTTCTCGACTTTGATGTGCTTTGCAGGGCTAATGTCAGTATCTCATCCGCATGATAGCTGGATGATGAGGAATTGAGGTGTAATAAAAGGTCTTCTTTAATTTTCTATCAACAGTTATGGTCATTTATTTTAGGAGTTATTCATTGAGCTGTATTGTTGTTAGTGTCTCTTTACTAAGTTCAAACAAGCTGTAAACTGTTACTTAGCCGATCTATCTCTTTCACTTTCACCAGTTACTAAAATTGGTCAGCAATTCAAACATATTTGAATCAACCTACGCTTATGCTTTTTTAGCTTTTCATCACTCTTAATCAATAACTAGCAAATAATACAGAACGGTTTCCAGGGTATAAAGAGCTATTATATCACCAGTTAGTCAAAACGTTTGGTTCTTTTAGAGTAACAGAGCAGTTTCGTATAGAGTACAAATCACTAAATTTCGGTATTTTCAGGGGTTTTAGTTAAATGTCTCATTCGTGTAATTGTTTAACTTTCTATATGCTGAGAAATTACAAGTCTTTATACAACTTTTCTGTTTTTTTTCAGTTTTACATATGCCTCATGTCCTTTAGTGCCATCGCTATGTGTATTTATTTCATTTTTCAATGTTTGAGCTCCGATTGGGAAAGTAAGCAATGGTACTATATTTTTACACTGATAAATTTTCAGTTATTATTATCTCATTAACAACTTTAGTTACTATTGCGGGTGCAACTCAGGGATGAGAAACAATATGTCTCTTTCAGCGTGAAACTGGCTAGATATTTATCTGAACGGAACTATGTCACTCATGTGGAAGAATTCTGGCACCCTGCTTGATCTTCTGTATAAACATCATTGAGGACTTCATATCGATCGACAAGTTGATCCCAACTTCTCTTTTTCTGGTAGAAGATTTTCCAACATGGATCTGTGGGGAGCTAAATTCTTATGACTGTTTAGTTGATATATGTCTCGACTAAAAGCCGAAAATTAAATTATGTACGTATACTCCTACCTTCTGACATCCTTAGAATTTGTGATACGGAGCAAGTGCTGTCATATCTTTAGTTACGGTCTCTGCACAAACCGCCCGACCAATAGCTGCTGCCTTGACGTGGTGGTTGGATATGCATATCAAAATGACCCAACGAGCTACGCTGGTGGAACACTTGTTCCCTCGAAGTCCTACCATGCTAGAATCATCTGTTGGATACTGACAAAAAGCGGCCACCGTTGTAGTACAAATTACTATATTATGACAAGGGTCTGAGGACGAAGTTCTACTGCTGCTAATTGGACGGTATGTGACAACAGTGCAACTCTGCTGCTGCCTTCCCAATGGGAACAGGGGGTTAGAAAAGATTGGCTCCAAAAATAACACACTCCACGCTGTCGTGGCTTGCCGATGCTTGCAACTGGGATTCATAGTCGGATTCAAAATGAAAAAGCCAATATCTCAAAATTGACGAAACGCCGAGTGGGATTGGACTCAAGCAGATGTCCCATGGAATCTATGGCTACACACTATCTTTTCTTTTTCAGGTGCCTCAAGCACAAACAACCTTCTACGGTGTGGGCAACCAGCAAGTATCAACTGTTCGAGTGCTCCCATTGATACACAAGACCTATCCCTATCCACTTCAACTCTATCTCCTCCTTTGCCTTCACCTCCTGATACTAATATTAAGCCCTCACCCAGATGACCAAACGCACCGAAACCTCATTCATAGTCTCCTAATATCCAGCTGTCGATGTCATGTAAGAGCTCTCAACGTCCGAACTCTATGCCAAATTAGGAACTAAGATCCATGGATGTATGCTGTCTCTGAGACATATACAGGAATCGAGTGTAGTCAGTAAATTGACCTCACTTGACTCTATTAGTGACTATTCAAAATCCACCTTAGGAGTATGGGGAGAACCAGTGACTAGCTCTCGTAGGCTCACTGGTGTAGGCATAGCATTGAGTTGTAGAGCATAAAGTGCGCTTTTCGACTGGATGGATACCAGTCAACGGCCGTCTGTGCTGTTTGACTGAATGGGTCTGTGAGGGGTAGGAAGGATCGCGAGACTAGGCTATGCTTATTGGTGATCTCTGACTTTACATCCACTGGGTGCAGTTCGGATGATGCAAGGAGTGAATTCTTTGAGAAGCTGTCAACTTTGTAACAGGAAGAAAAATGTTCATGTGGTCACAATGGTAGGTGACTTTGACGCTGAAGTGGGGAAGCTGAGCTGAGCTAATTGGAAAGGGATTATGGAGGTATTTATGGTATCTTATGCCAACGAATCGACAACGGTGATCGTCTGTTGCAACTTTCTTCCTACAACCACTTGTTTGTGGTCAGAATTCACTTTAGGCATAAGGAGAGACACTACCTTCAACGGTGTCCGCCCGACATGAAACAGACCATCGGCACAGATAGATCATTTTACCATAAGCCATGGTTGGAACACGGACCGCTGGAGGATCGCCGCTATTTCTAAACTACCAGTTAGACTTCGATCACGCTTTACTTACGGCTCGTGTATATCTGCCCCTTAGTGGTTTCAGGAAACAGGTGATAGTAAAGCCTGTCTATGGTCGACTTGAGGATGAGAACGTCAAATGCGCACTTAGGGAAGATATAGCTAGGCATTTATCTGAACATGACAGCAATCCTCATCGTGAGGAATCTTTGCGTAATATTAAGTCTTCTGTAGAGACGGCATTAGAGACAGTTGGTCAGTAAGTGTCATTGGATTTTTGTAGTGTCATCCCTACTGATTGATGCTATTCTAGTGGGCTGTGACCACGATGAACAGTGAAAGCAACTCAAACTCAAGTTAACCAAGAGCGTTCACGTCGATCGCGAGCAGCGGTGGGTGGTGAAAGCGAGAAAGATGGAGACGTTAGCGTTGGATAACATATGGGAACTTTTCAGACTTATTAAGGATAGTTGTAAGAAGAAGACGATAGTGAGTGAAACCATTATCAAGAGGGATGACATCTCGATAACCTCCAAGGACAGGTGACTGGAACGTTGGGCAGAATACTTTCAGTCTCAGTTCAGGTGGTCCTCAGCAACGCTTCAGCTGCCCAACATTCAGCCTGAACCTGAATGGGACGGAGATGGTGGTCCTCTAACTCTGCTCGAATGTAAGGAAGCTGCTTCGAACGTGAAACGAAGCAAGGCAGCAGGATCTGATAGCTTGCCATCCAAATTTTTCAAGGATAGAGGTCGAAAATCGCTGATGAGGATGGGAGGTGTGTTACGTAGTGTATGGAAATCAAACGTAGTCCCGTCAGAATGATCTACTTCACTGGTTATTTCAGTCTATGAATAAACCGTCAAAACGTGTTCAGCAACTGGGTATATTAGCTCAATTGGTAGTGCTGTAGGTCGGTGACCAAGATGCTTATAGTTTGCATGTTGCCACGATTCAGTATACATAAAAACAGTTTACCAAACCACGACTATCTTACATAGTCTCATAAATAATGCCGTCCCTATGATCATGTAATAAAGCAATTCAAATAAAGTGGGGTGTTATCTTCGGGTTTAGAAATATGTCAGATGTGGGCGCCGGTAAAAATATCTGTATCTGATTGATGCTCTTAAGTCTAATTCTAAAATCTGCCCATTTTTCTCGGGCTCCAGTTGACCATCCTATAGTTATGAACACCAGGATCCTGGAAACGTGGTTGTCACACGAAGACTTCTCCACTTTTTTCATAAAGTGGGATGTTCAGCGACCTCCATCGTCAATAACCTTAAATGATAAATAAACCTTAAGGTCCTACTGCTTTTCATTATTTCAAGCTTCAAACAGCCATCTTAGCATCAGTGTGTTAGAATACCAACAGTTATATCCTGTTCATGTTGACTGAGACCTTCGCAACTGAAGCGTTGGTGCGGGCCAGTCGAACTTTCCTTCAGTGTTCCACCTAATGTCGCCGCCACCTGTCTTGAGTGGTGATTAGTGTTCCATCCTTTTCTCCGATAGTCTCCCTAACCGTCGTCTTCTTTTTCCCAATTTATTTAATAAGCACAAATAATTGCTTGATGCCTCCTCCACCTGTTTCGCTTTCACCACTTACCCACTGATTGCAAAGATTCTTAGTCAATTTACGTTTGAGCTGCCTTCGCTCCTCATTGTGGTCAAAACCAGTTGGAATGAATCTTCTCGCATCAACCATTTCGTAAGAGGTTTCAGAAACCCACTAGCTGTTTCAAAAAGTTGGATGTAGGGTTACCAGCTGTCTCTAGAGAAGACTGAAAGTCATACCATTTTTCATCAGGAAGGGAATGGCTGCAACGTTGAAAACGCAGATTGCTCATGCTATGGCGGTGACAGCTATTGGTCTCACATTATCTAAACCGTCTTTTTAAGACTTCAAGAAACAATCATTTTAACCAGTGTGGCTTGTTGGTTGATTCTGATATGCAAGCCTCACCACAGTGTCAAGTTATTCGATCAGTAGTAAGCTGTGTATTAACTTGTAGCCTTTTAACTTGTTTCGATATCTGGTGTATATTTTTTGGGAAATGACTGAATGCTTAAAAATTGAGTCTATTGCATTTTCTGTCTCCTTGGTTTAACAGATGTATTTTGAACAGGAACTGAACATTAGATCAATTTTAAATAGTAGGGAAATGCGATCGAATGTTGATGAAACTTCTGAAGTCTATTGCATACTGATCAATTTTATTAGTGTAAAATGAAATGTATTCATCAAACTGTAAAATTATGCCATTCACTTGATTGAAAAAATATCTAGGGATGTAGTTTTAGCTACTTGAACTGTGTTAATTGGGATAGAAAACATATTCTGCTAACGCATACATGTACCAATAGAGGATAACCATATAATTATATAATCCTGACAAGGTGTGGATAAATCAGACGACTAGTTCCCTATTGTTTCGACTTAAACCACTTTTGAAACTTTGTAATACCAACTCAGAAGTAAGTCACAAGCACTAGGTTGTTATTCAATTTTTGCGGGTTTAATGGATTTCAGTAACGGTTTCACCATAATTTGAAGTTAGCCTGGGAACCATACTTATGGTTCGCGGAGTAATGATGCCAGTTGCCTGTCTAAATTTCAGTACACGGAGCGAGATTTGGCGGGAGTCAAGTTGTTTCTACTTGGTAAGGGACTACTCTGCAGCTGTTCCCTTCCAAAACTTCCGGTATACATATCACCCAACCTCTCATTTCTTTCTGAGAACGTGGTGGTTCAAGGACTGAGAATAGCCTTCTACCTATCACATGAGTGCTATCGAGTTAGAAGTGGCGATAAATATTATTTGCTTTGATTCATTAAAACCAGACTATCGTCTAAGCCCTCATCTGCAACAATGTTTGCACTCCTTTAGCTTTCTGATCAATAAAACAGTTAAACTACTAATGTGAATAACCACGAAGCCTGATTTTTTGTCGCTATCAGATCTTTGGTCATCAGTCATTGGTAGTCAACACTTCAATTTTTCCACAGCCACCATGTTGATGTGTGATTCAAACTTGTGTTGGTAATTTTTGTTCCGTTTCAGTTTGTCAGTCAAATCAAAGTCTTTCGCTGCTAGGTAACTTCAGTCCGTTGGCATGTAGTGCATTCGCATTGGGACTTATATGTGAATCCTTAATGTTTGGCATTTTCACACTAGTTATGTGTATCACTCAATTATGTGCTATTTCAAATGATGAAACGGTAAGTCGGATGCAGCATATTCTTCCTCCCTTGTTTGCTTATCTCATTCAAAAACTATTGAATTCCCTAGTGATCTATCTCGGCCTTTACTGCCTTACTTACTAATCACATGTCACGTAAATCCATAGTATAGACGTTAGAATGATAAAACTCCGCCGAATTTTTGATTCAATACTTTGAGAAACCTAGTCATATTTTTTCTTAACGGGTTCGAGGATCAGTAGGGACATGATTCGTAAATTGCAAAAGCATTTTGCTGATGGCTACCAGTCAGCATAAAATTTACACCCACCCAGAACACTGAGAATTACCTCAGGATTAATCCCTGCAGAGTACGTTATCATATATTGGTTGTTTGTCGATACACATTCTATTCAAACCACATTTTGCGGTCACGTCGCCATCAAGTTGCATAGCACTTGATGACATCTAGAAATTGCTACTGAATCCCATTGTGTGATGATTAAAAGATTATAACAGCTTATTGAGTCAGGTTTACTCACAGCTACATGAGAATGCTTTGAATCAACGAAATATCAATTCAAAGCAATACCAGCGCTGGAGGTTTGTGATGAATATACCTTTATGTTCTCCTAGACAGTGAACCATGATCACACTACTTTTGCTTGTTCATGGCCACGTCAAATAACTTTCCAGTTTTAGCGTTTTTTCTGACTAAGCCTATCTGTAATAACTAACTTGGTATCAAAATGTTAAGCTTTCTAAAAAACAACTGCTTACAAAGTATGATGTTTAAATTCGGCTACAACATGAGTTCAGTCATTGTCTAACGATGGAAATGACATCGGTTTACTAGTGCACAAAAAACGATCTGAATAACTTTTAGATTGTATTACTTGGTCACCTATTCCAATGAAAATTAACCAGTGCCGGTTTGTAGCAGAAGGTGAATGGCTCTACTCCAGTTCACTTACTTCATTTGACACTATGTTTTTCTATACCAATCCGAAATGCCACTGGAAGTATGAGCATACCGAATTGTTCTTCCCATTTTGCTTTTAAAATATGTAGCAGGGAGAAACACAAATCAGAAATCACTTCGTGAAAAATATGACTCGACTAGTCGACCTGCCAACTGAACAACTACTACTTATCAAAGTTACAACTACTGGAGTTCCGATAAGATGGTCAGGTCAGTTACCAACTAAAGTGACACAATCTTATTGTAGTGTGAGATGATTGAATCGTGGAAATATCGACTCATTTGCCACAGGACTTCTTTTAACCGCGGAGAAGCAATGCCTAAATTGGAGTATGTAAGAAATTAGTCTACTGTGTCATTTTCATTTCATATACGTGTCTACTAATTAACAGTGACCTTTTTTAAAACTTCTCTACAAATAAAGGGCATTGAAAGTTTCAAGAAGGAACAAACGTCATGGGAAAAACATTCACGTAGACGTAATTTCATAAAAACGTTTGGTCCACCATTTTCATGGAAATGGCTTAGCCCGTTTTCACCGCCTCCACCTCTAGCAGCAGTAATACCAGGGCTTCCAGACAATTTTGATTTGACAATAATGTTATATTTAGCCGAGAAAAATGCAACTCGCCAAGATTCAATTGACTTTCAGACGGATTTTAATCAAGTTGGATATATTGTTTGATCCAACAAACCTTATATTTCTCATCTATAATAAACTTATTTCAATAAAATGTTGAAGAAAATAAAATGATAATTTATAAATTTATTTTTAGAACTGATATTTCAGCTGTCGTGTAAAAGTACTTCCAGAGTGTAAACTAGTTGGTAGTATTTGTAACCATATGGAATACCTAAATGGAATGTAATTAATTTAACTTAATAATACTGCACATCTAGAAGTCCTAGATGTGATACTATATTGACTGAGATTCCTAGAGATATAGATTGCATATACTGCAGCTGATGTAACTAAGAATCAGTCTCAATGGTTTGCTTCTTACGTACTTAACTTTGATGTATTCGTTCCGATGTTACCTTTTCATTATGTTATTTTGAATGGTGATAATTTTAACTGATGTCTCGATTTACAGTTTCTGATTAATTATGGTGTTTTCATTACCTTTGCTTGTTAAATTATGCCCAAAACAGTTAAGTTCCTTTATATTTCTTGATTGATAGTGTTATCGAAAAGAAGTGCTATGGAGCCAAAAATAAAAATAAATGTTGCGAAGAAAATCAAATATAACACAGTACATGTTGGGCAGTTACGTAGCGTTTCACACGAGTAGCAGTAATACGAATATTGGTAATAAGTACTGTTGTATTATTTTCTAACCTAGGAATTTAAGTAAAATAGCACAAAAGAAAGGAAGACGAATAAATACCATTGATTACCAAATCTTACATCTCACTGAAACAATACAAACAAAATAAGCTGAAGGTTACCGATGCATGAAACAAAGCGATATAAAACACATGATGAAATACTGTAAGAGATCAGGAAAGGAAGGTCAGCTAAAGAATGACGAATATTTTGCGAAGTATATACACAACAGGAATTAATCCAATAGTAAGAGTTTAGCAGATTAGTCTAAGCATGAGATAAAATCTGAGAACACTGTGTGCGTGTAGTGTAGCAAGTGAATATAAGACTAACAGCAAGCATGGTAAAAACATGAAGAATTACTTCACTGTGATTACAGTTATCATTTTCTAACCTTGGAAACTATCTATAAACTGGCCATATCATCGAGCTAGTGTTGTTATCAATTCAGTACACATTTCAAAGAATTCCATTGTTTGGTGCCGTTTAGTTCTTCTGTTCATTGAGGTCTCTTGATGAGCCGTCGAAGACGATCGAGAAAATTCAGCGGTATTCTGGCCATCTGAGCCATACGTTGGTAGCGGGCTAACAGAGCCGGTGCTGCCTGAAAAACTGCCATCTACACTGTATGTTGAGGTTCCCATAGCCGCAGGAGGAGCTAAAATACCGAATACAGCAATTATTTTGACACTGATTTACCTGGTTAGATTTAAAGAAAATATGAGATAAAAACCCTGTTTTAATTCGTTATGACGTCACTAACGACAAGAAACTTTTTCCTTTGCTAAAATGCACGATCGAACACTCTAGAACATGAAATAACTCATCCAATGCAACTACTAAGCAGCCTAGTTTTGTTATTGAACCAGAAGAAACACAGTGCTCTTAAAATGCTACTCAACTTCTCAGTAGGAGGGGGAGTGAAGAAGTGCAGATTTCCTATACCCAACCCCATTATTAGTAAAACTATTGGGTCGAAGATCCATAAGCATAAAAATAGCTCGCAATATCATTTTGTTTCAGAAGACTCGTGTATACATACATATAATGAGACTTTTAAAAGAAAATCTGATAACAAGAACCGGAAGACCCAGTGTCATCTGCATATAACAAGCTCTGTGATAGAAGCACGCTTCACAAAGAGATGAAGGTACTGCTGAGTTGCGAACCGATAAGAGTCTAAGCTTATTTACTGAGTAATTAAGCCTGACTGATTTGAACGTCATCACTGAGCATGTATCCTCACTTCCTCTAATAGTTGACATTCGACAGAGTTAAAATTAAACGATATGAAAAAGTTCGTATCAAAATGTGAAACGTCTACTAGACACTGTCTAGTTAAGGTGAAAGTCACCTTTGACTAATTCACTTCAAGAATGAGTTAGTAGTAATCAACTCGATTAACAGATTGGCTGTAATTGCGAATAACCCGCTGTCATCACTCCTGTCCAGCTTTGTTACAGATGTAATAATAGACATAACCTCTGACTTCACACGAATTGATCTAGTCCCTGGAGAGAACTTTGTTGACTTGGAGTACGCTAACGACATAGTCCTACCTCCCTGTTGGGTGAAGACGGTGACAAAATATACGGTCCTGTGAACGCATTGAGCAGAAATCAGAATGTTCAGTATGCGTTCTCCACCTGTCAAATGTAAGATGATGTTTCCAGAATGGTCTGCGTCAACTCCCAGTTTAACGACAGTGAGTGAAATGACAGAATGCATTGACCACTTCACTCACTCAAGAAGCTGTATCAACCCCGACGGGATGGTTGCTGATTGGACCTCAGCTCAGTATTTGCCAACTCACGTCGTTTCTGACACCGGAGACATATTCGACTATCCATCAAAGAATGAGTATACTGTGCTACAGCCATCACTGTCCTATTATATAGCTGTGAGACCTGGTCGTTGAAAGTAAATATGAAGAGATCACAGGTTTTTGAGCACAAGTGACTTAGCAGCATCGTTCACGTATGGTGGGACCATCACGTGAGCAATGTCCAGATTGAACAAAAGAAACTAAGCAAATCAATGAAAATTCACCGACTGAGGTGGCTTACACATGTGTTGCTCATGACCATCCACTGCCCATCTTGATATGCGGTGTTACCTGCAGTAGGATTGGGTTGGAAGAAGACTAAGGGTGGCTAGATCACGTCATAGCACCAATCCGACTGTCGCTCTGAGCCATGTAGCAAAGTGCCTTATTGGGATCCTGGAGACGATTGGAAACATGATTCAAAATCGATTATAGTGGCGAAGATTCATAAATTCTTTGACGATCCCGAATTCATTGAATTTCTCTATTTATTTCGTCAACTGATATACACTTTTTCTCCTAATATCACTATTTCTCTCCACTTTGGATGCTGGTGTGAAGTGGTACAAATTGAATTTATGCACTTCTCAAAGTAAAGAAGACTATAACTACACTGACTGGCTTAAAGTAATTGTACCTGCTGCACTTTTTAGATCGATTTCTGGTTCACTAATATGATGAGACCTTTCAACATGTAATTTACTGACAAATTTCAAAACGTCCATGAATTTAGTATATACTTTCGAAATATCAACGAATTTAATAATAATAGTAATAATAATAGCCATATTATATTAAGTTAGCATTTATAAAGCTTACTTGTGTTGCATGAATCAAGACACACTGACATATTGTTTGAACGTAGTCTACCCATTACGGAATCAGCCTCTAATTGACTCTCATCGATACACTTGAAATCAAGTAGGTATGATCTTGCATCCACCTGTTATAGTAAAATCCCGTTACGATAAAAGGAATCATAATATTAGAATGTAGCTTTCATAGCAATAACAATTATTTCGAACAGTCAGTTAAGATGAGTATCATGGACACATTAATTTTTTAAGACAAAATTGCTATATGCATAGTGGTGACCAGAAATTAAATATAGAAGCATCACTTTTTTTATTAATTGGATATATTTTTGGTGTGCTTACTGTTCTGTCGCTTTAAACTTCAAAATCATACCGACTACTTTAAGTAGTTATGCGTCGTGAAATGTTTATTTACAACAGTAATACAATCGTACAAGCTCTAGTTCAAAGATGTGACGATCCACTAAAGTATATGGACTTTATATTGTTCACTGGAAGGAAATGAGTACTTTCTAGACAAAAACTGATCACAATGACCTCAGTGATAAGACTACTTTAACAGATAAAATCAAGATAAATGCATGATAGTAGTAATGAAAACAGTGAGTGAGAGGAGAACACTAACCTGAAATTTTGGCAAAATATACCAAGTTTGTACTAAATACACAAAACTCATCATACTACAAAGGAGGCATATGTTCAGGTAATGATTTCTAATCAAATGAGGATTACTATTTATTGATATACTTGTAATTCTCCGTCGTTTCATTGGATCGGATTGTTCGACCTCTATTGGTATATGGGATCCTATGCGGATGTTTCAATATTGTCTAAATGTCAATTATGGTAAGCTAGTTGATTGTGGCTAGCAGAGGAATGAAGGACGCGCGTTTTGCCCTACTCGGGACTCAGCTGGATGTACCTGCACCCCAGTGAGTGATGTTTTTCCAATCGGGACTCGAACCTCGTAGCCATCGCTTCAAACGCCAAGGCGTTATCTACTATGCCACAGGGGAACGATAACTACTTGTAAAACGGGTAGTAGTTATTACTACTTACTGATATACTTGTAATTCTCCGTTGTTTCATTGGATCGAATTGTTCGACTTCTATTGGCCTATTGCCACAAATGAGAATTAGGTGGTGATCTTCCCTTTCGTTCTAAAGTTCGGCGTTCATCCTACTAATTTCGATTCAAGTAGTTTAAAAATCCCCATTCAGTTATAAAGCAAAAGACGTTTAGTGAAGAATCACTCTAGTCAGCGGTTTCATTTTAAAGCTGTACAATAGAAGAAATATTAAAAAATTTTCTGTCATCCTCAGTGAGAAAAAATTTCTATGCTGCCAAACTCAGAATAACTTCCTCTACTTACCTAATGCTTTCATTATGCGCGGAAGATAAACTAGCTTCCTCGTTCACCACTGTGTTTATCAATTCATTTACTCCTATGGAGTAAGGTATGTTGATCGTACTCAGCGTTCATACTTCACCTGCATACTGGTCTAATTCCACAAAGGAGAAAAGAGAGCACCTCGCAACTATGTTTTAGAACATATGGTAGATTCTGACGACCCGGTATATGCTGAAAATAACTTTAGTGTTATTCACAGAGTTCGTGCAAACCCCATAGAGGGAGTGTGGCTGCAATTTCTTCAAACCGTGGAAGTCATGGTAATTGATATTTGAAGCCTGAACTCTGCATTCAAAAGTTTTTCGAGTCATTCGAGTTGCAATGGGCATGTTCTATTAGGAAATCTCACATATCATATTCTTCCGCCCTTATCAATTGGATTCACCAGTCCCTTTAACAGTATTACACCACTCAACCTAATCACAATTACCATTCTAAACATTCTTTCTTCCGAACTCCTGATTTATAGTCGAAACTCAATTACGTTCAAAAATATTTCATGAAACGTTCCCTTTCTGTTTCCATATCAATATAGCATTTATGTGCGACTGTACAACTGGAGAGTGATATCGCTGAAAAGTTATCTATTATAATTCAGAAACTTCTACGAAAATAGCTATGCAGCGAGGTAAGTTAAAACAAAAGTTACACATGCTGCAGACGAGAGGGTTTGTGAACATTTATAGGTGAATATCGCATTACGAGGGGAAAATGTACTCCACTACCTGATAGAGTTGTAATACAAGTCTGGAATAATGCTGAAGTATTGGATTCCATTTTCTAACCCGCACATTGAAAGGATTCACAACTTTCCATTCATATCCCAGAGAATTCATAGCTTTAAATACTTCATGCATAATATCCCAGGGTCGAGACTGAGAACGTATACCCAAATGCCACTTAAAGCGTTTCATTCCCGCAGCAGCAGCAGCCCCCGCTGCAACGGCAGATTGAGCTGGAGTAGAAACGTGACCTGTTGAACTTGTTTCTGCTGTACCAGTTGGTCCAGGTAACTGTCATATGAAAAAAGACAAGAAAAGTGCATGTCACTGATTTGATTCAGATTTAAGATCGCGATACGTAACACTAGGACAAACAAAATAGAACGAATCCAGTCATCTATTGTTCTGATTTTCCAATCGAACTACTAGTGTGTAAGAAGAAGACAAAGCACAAAGAAACTCAACGCGTTTATCGTCGCTGGAGGCTGATAATGATAAGGATGAAATTCATGCCTAAATATATGATTTTTTAGGCAACTTGACACGTTAGCCATTTTAGGAGCGAAATTAAAGAGCCGGATTTAAAGTTTCGCAGACGTTTACACTTTTAAAAACAATGTGGATGAAATCCCTTAGTTTTTCGGTAGTTTCCAGTCGAATTTTTTGAAAACAGTAGTACGTCACAACAATCATTAAGCCACAAAACTTATCTACATTTAACGATTGTGTAAATAACAGTTAACAAAAGTTGAATACCTCATAAATTGGCTACGATTATCTTCCGAAATCTAAAGTAGTTTTTACTGATTAAAATTTGTGATAATATTTGAACAGATAGAAAACGAAAGAAGTTGGGCGCACATAAGACCAATTTGCTGGGTATTTATAGGTAAGTGGAACAATGCTTGTTACGACTTTGTAGACTTCAAGATCAAAATTTGATAAGAAAAAATTGAATAAGTTGACCATTGAGTAAATGTTTTGCAAAGGAAATATATTTTAAAGATATTAATGATGTGTAAAAACAAATTTTTGACTTTCCGCAACTTCGTGGAAACCGCTTCCACAGAGAATAAAACCTGTACAAGCTATCGCATGTTTAAATAGTAAACAGCGATAAATTAGATCACGTTGTTCATATATAAAAATATGGCAATAAAGGTCATCGTTATCAGTCTTTGAGTTCAAGGTGAAGCTGATGCCACGAGAAAAGCAATACGAATGAGAAATTCAATTCGTTTATGTATATATTTACCTTAATTATGATTAGTGTGCAATGTGTTATTTCGGAAAAAATATATTTAACTGGGTTGGATAGCTAGACCTTCATTTCTTTTGAGTGAATTAGGATTCAAAATAATGTGAAATGTCGCAGTTATTTATCCTTTTTTGCACTTTCAAATTCCTTTTCTGGTAATTTTAACACTTTCAACATCAATTTTGTGGTTATGAAAGATGACAGAAATTACTCATTTGATTTGTAAATTCCTCTTTAGAAACAATGAGGATTTCGCGAGATGACCTTCCGATATAATCAGCAGTACAATCCACACAACCTAATCAGCAAAAACAATTGTGTGTAGGTTAATAGAATTCTATCTTCTAAGTGACTTGAAGGATTCCTGAGTATTGGTTGTCTTGTATTATAATTTGTAGTTTAAGTTCCTAGTGGAACATAGGGCTTCACTAGCACGCCGTCATTGTACTCTGTTCTCTCCAGTCTTTTGAACCTGACTCCACAACTCCCTATAAAGCTTTCATTTCTTCGTCACATGATCTCCTCCATGTCACCCTCGTCACGGATGCCCAACTCGTCGTTTCTCACTTGGGTTCCACTCGACGACCTGGCCTGACGATTGATGTCCTCAAACGGTCTTCTCAGTGTATGTCCAATCCAATCTATCTCCACTTTCTTGTGCATATTTGTTGGGCGATAGGTTGTTGGTTGGTTCATTGCCAGTCAGTCAGTCAGCCAACCAGCCAGCCAGAGTTCCTTGTTGCTTATTGTTATTATTCTGGCCATCTGATCTCCATCTTCAGTATCAAGTGAGCGTAGGCGGCAGGTGTTGATGTATGTCTGTAGTTTGTTGGGAATGCTTTTCGTAACGCGCCAAGTCTCTAAACCACCACCACATGGAAGCACCGACTTGACTGAGATTAGTGTTTACAATCCGGATATTTTTCTTTATGCTGAGTGGAGTGTAGTGGAGTGGAGTGGATCTGCATACTGATTTCAGATTGATGAGTTAGTAGTAATCAACTCGATTAACAGATTGGCTGTAATTGCGAATAAGCCGCTGTCATCACTCCTGTCCAGCTTTGTTACAGATGTAATAATAGACATAACCTCTGACTTCACACGAATTGATCTAGTCCCTGGAGAGAACTTTGTTGACTTGGAGTACGCTAACGACATAGTCCTACCTCCCTGTTGGGTGAAGACGGTGACAAAATATACGGTCCTGTGAACGCATTGAGCAGAAATCAGAATGTTCAGTATGCGTTCTCCACCTGTCAAATGTAAGATGATGTTTCCAGAATGGTCTGCGTCAACTCCCAGTTTAACGACAGTGAGTGAAATGACAGAATGCATTGACCACTTCACTCACTCAAGAAGCTGTATCAACCCCGACGGGATGGTTGCTGATTGGACCTCAGCTCAGTATTTGCCAACTCACGTCGTTTCTGACACCGGAGACATATTCGACTATCCATCAAAGAATGAGTATACTGTGCTACAGCCATCACTGTCCTATTATATAGCTGTGAGACCTGGTCGTTGAAAGTAAATATGAAGAGATCGCAGGTTTTCGGGCACATTCTCCGATGTCACCGTAAGTTAGAGGTCCATGTAAACTGGATTTTCGAGGTTTTTTCTCGCCCTATACATTTTTGTCTACTTTGATATCACGTTTTACCTACCTACTTGTTGTTTACACCTTGCTGTGAAGTGTGACAACTTGAATCGAAGCATTTTTGTGCAACGTTCTACGTTGGCTTTGTCTGTCTACCCGACTGACTGCTGTTCGGGTGCAATTAAGAATATCTAACATCATTCAAACGACCTTCTTAATCGGATTCGTACAGCAGATATCAACTGGAGACATCAATGTACAAATCGTGTTCAAACTTAGAATGATCGTCTAGGTGGGAATTAGCTGGTTGGAAGTCAGATAACGGGGACCGTCTCTGTCAGATTCCAGCAGATCAAGATATATTTCTAGTTAGAACCAACTTCCGACAGCCATTACCATGTCATATTTGGCGTGCTCACTCTAATTGAAACCCTTACTATAAAGGATCACGCTGCAAACAGTTACCCATGGAGTGAATATACTCAAGACTGCCAAAGTTTTCTAAAACAGCTGTTTGGACTCTGTTCATGCTTTAATATGTGACTGATTCATTTCGCCATTTTAGCGTCATACTAAACAAGTCGACATACGTAAATAAATACCAAACCAAGTTAAATTCAGGGCTAGCTGTCGAACCTCTCGAAACTATAAGTGAACAATAGATGCACCTACAAAATGTCATGAAAATGGCGAATAAAGTTACTTGCTTGCAAGCTTCTTACAACTTCTTAACACTCACTAATTTCCATCAACAGACGGCATATACTAACGCAACAGATTACGCAGCATTTACGGGAAGAGTGCAAGGCCCAGTAATTAGAATGTGCAAGCGAGATGGAAGCAGCATTTTTATCTAGCAATAGTAAGAAGTTGATCCAGTTCATGGAAACCAAAAGTAGTAAGAAAATGGGTGTGGGCTAGGTATCTTGTGAAGATGATAAGCCGGCCCATAACATTTGTAGACACCTGGAATGCTAGGTGGAGCACTCACAAATTTAATCGGTATACAGTCAGCAACCTTGTGCACATTCGCACAGTAGGCAATAAACCAAGTCTTTAGTATCAGGGCTAATGGTACTACCTTGATGCCCGAACCTCGGTAGGTGAAGCGGTATTTTAACCACAGACCCACTAGTTGAAAGTTAACTCCTTAAATAAATAAGCTACAACTTCACCAGAGTGGGGTTAGGAATGGCAGTCCGACTTCATTATTCCGCTTCAACTTTTTAATCGACGACAATCTCAAAACTGCCTTTAAGGAGGTCCTTCACGTCACTGAAGTGCGAAATGCATTTTCACGATTGATAGGAATCAGTATATGCCCTTATACTTGGCAGTAAATCGTTGGGAGCAGTCGAAAAGTCTTTATAAATGGGTAGTTCCGAGAGAGCCGGTGGAGTTGGGTGATGAGATTTCCAAGCGCATATCGAAGTCCGAAGAGGTATACGATAATCTGGATCACCTTTGGTGCCATCTTGACGTTAACCTGGTTTGAAAAGGTCGGGTATGTAATGCGTCAGTCTAGGTAGTTCTGCTATGCATCTTTGAAACGTAGCCCTTCTGAGCTTATCAAATTCAGATGACTGTGCGTATTCCATTGCCGTCATCTCAGCAGAATTGCTAGCATCCCATATGAACACCATGTATACAATCCCAAGGTGAGACTGTGAGTGTTTGGGTATGACAAAGATCGTCAATGATTGAGTGAAGTCATCTTGAAACGCCTGCTTCTGTAGCTTGGACATATGTCACGTATGTCGTCCAGCAGCTCCCACACTGCTTTCTTTTCGCATCCAGTTTCATGGGTTGGAAGAAATGGAGAGGTAGTCAGTGTATGATATGGCGCTGTAGATGAAGGATAGCTATGTTGGGTTAGTATATCTGTAGGTACTCCACAACTCCCTGGTGGGGTCCAAGAAATCATGCAACCCAGTGGACCTAAGATGATAGCAGATGTGGCTCAGAATCGAAACCAAAGGCGATCATGCTGGAACTTTCTCGTTTTTCCGATGACTAAAAAGTAGAACTTTTTAGTGAATTCTCCTTTGAACTATCTTTGGACAGCTTCCCCGCTAACATCCTTATGATTGCTGAGTACTTTTTGTCTCCCTTTATCGAAATCATTTTTACGTTGTTATATCGCTTAGTATGACGCATTTCTTGATGCTTAAGTTGTACCTAGTCTGAGTTTAAAATAAAACGAATGTAACAAATCGGATTTGAGTCACTCAAGAAACGCTTTATAAAGGTCAAATTAGAATATCCTACCTAAAAGTTATTTCAGCATCGTTAAACTGTGGGGTGTTATGGAGTGTCTTTACTATTGGTATAGCCCACAGAATGCTAACTAATCAATTCAATGTGATCTTCGTTTTCAGAGACTATTAAAAATGTCTTAATTTGACAGGCTGCAAATATTTACACACTAAATAAATGCAGAAGAATATCACTGCTTACATACATACAATTTACATCTAAAATATTGAATTTGTGCCGTTTATACACTTCATACATACTGTACATACAGATGAGTTACACGTACATGACTAAGTCACAGTCCGGCAAACAACTGTTCATAATATGGCACTGAACATCCAATCAGTAAATGAATGACAGCTGAAGTTCCTCGCGCTAACGACACAGTGCAGATTTCGATATCACAACCAGCCTCAAATTTTATGGGAGAATGGATATACACCTAGGTTTCTGATGCACTGATAATCGGCCTTAAAATGGAAAATACACACAGCTGTTAAAAGAATACGACACTAACAAACAGCAGATAAACGTCTTATGGAGAACTCGTTTTGTTTTGTCTGGAAAGAGCAGCAGTTTCAACACTGGATTTGGTTCTATAAGCTCACAGCACTAAACACACGAATGATGATAAAAACATTCCATAAAAGTGAACATATTACCGATGAATCACCCATGGGATCCAATGTCCTAGACAATGGTGGTCCATCTGGCATCCGTTCTGGATGAGGTCTAGTTGGAGAGATAGTCCGATTCTTCAAACCAGTAACACCACCACTATTACCATAATTTGGACTCAATGAGTGACTTTGACCTCCAGTCCCAGGATGAGAATGAGCTAGTGATCCAGGAGGACTACTAGACGTACTTGGTGCTGTAGAAGAAGGTGAGTCTACACCTGTAGCTACGTAAAAATTGTTTACTTCCTCTGGATTCAAGACTGATCCAAAACGCCTTAAGATAATAAAAATAAAAATAAAGGAACACGTCTGGATTAAAATATACGCCTTTCTTTAAAAAAGTGATAAATATTTCACGAATACAATTTTGTCTAGTTCACTGATAAGTAATAGGACCGTCAGCATTCAATCAAGTTCATCACCAGTTAACTATGTTATAATATCATATTCATATATGTGATTACACCATGGGATATGCAACTGACTGATTAAGAATAAATAATACATCAAATGAAACCTAACCCATGTAATTAATTGCTCATTACACGATCAAAAGTATGTTAGTTTAGGTCAACAAGAGTTTACCGTGTTATTTCCTTCCGTTAATGTATTTAATGTAAGTTGAGTGTACGTGCATGTCATTATCAAAGGTGCTATGGAGTTAATTTATTTATTTTTTTTTAATAGCTATAGAGAAACACACGTCAATATGAAACTTTTTGTGTTTTTATGAACAAAATCAGGATGCACTTGGACAGGATTACGAAATAACATTCAGTTCACTGCATGAAACAACTGTAAGCACAGAAGTGAATCCATTCATAATATTATGAATTAGTGTTGCGACTTTTCCGATCTTGAAGCCTGCTTTTACCATACACCTGCTAAATCTAACACTGATTAGTTACAGGTAACATACTGATTACTTCAGTTAATGCGAATTCGCAGTACCATCAATTAATTTACCCTACTGATAGAAAACTTTCTCCAAGGATGTTTATCAGGCGGTCCTAGTGTATCTAAGCAATACTTTGGGTTTACATATGAAGTCTCTCCATGTATGTTTTAGACGACTCATAGTTGTATATTACCAGGGCAATGTACTGTATTCTTGCTCCACTGATGGACAAATGAACACCTTAACTTTATATACGCAATCTTGATTGGTGAATACCAGTTCCATGCTTGTACATACCTGAATGATCCAAATTAATGGAAGGATGAAATCTTGAAACTTCCAAAAATGTGGAACTATGGACATTTAATTACTATGTCAATCCATCTCCACTGCTAATTTTTATAGGGAAGAGTAACCAGTTTTGGTAAATAAGACCACTAGTGTGAGACTCCCTAGTATGCCTCTGTGCATAAGATGGTAGGATGCTCTGTTTGGCCTTCGATTCGTAACTCCGGGTATCCATTAGCAACGTATATCGTCATCCTGAAGGAGATTCGTGTTTCCTCTGAAATTCAAACCTGCAACATTACCTGCTGAGGCCAGAGGCTTCGCCATTAAGCGATTTGGGTCCACGAAGCAGAATAGCAATCGACCTGGTTCTTACTCTAACGCTTGATGGGTTATATTTACTCCATTCGAACATCAAAAACGGCATGAAAATGTACTAGTCACTTCCCATGATGTTGCAAATGAGCCTTGTTGACGAGCCCCAATAAGCACAAAACCTAAGTCCAGGGCTACCTGCAGATTGCCACCAACTATCACTTATCGAAGTGCACCACGATGGTGAGCCTCCTAACTTGGTGGTGACAGTGCAAAACAATAGGTTGAATTTGACCAGACCTCAGGACTAAACAGAACGAAATTGGTTGCCCTCAGGTAACCAATCAACTTATTAATGATGAACAGTGGTTAGCCATGAAATCCAGGACGGGCATTTTGTCTCATCTGGAACTCGTCAGCTGGATATACCTGCCTCCCAGTGAGCGATGTTGTCCCCACTGAGACTCGAACCCGGGACTGATCGCTTCAAACACCAGGGGGTTATACCAACATAATCAATGTATTCAGCTTTTTTAATCACATATTTGAATGTTATATCTTTTATTAACTTAACTGATTTGTTGGAATTCATTTCACTCGTGCTCGTTATACAAAATCTTTAAAAAAGTTAACATGTGATCATATCGTTCGACGCGTACTTCAGGAATACATCGGTTTCTTTTGCAAACTAACTGCATCCCATTATTACATGGTATGAAAATACTAAAAAAGCTGGCCTAACTTTCACCAGTTTCAACAAGTTACAATCTTCAAAGATGATGTGATTCTCCAGATGTGCAGAACAATTATTTCAATCTGTATGGTCGAACCCTAGTAGAGCATAGACTGTTTTCTGAAGAAACAACCTCCATAAGGTCGCGAAACGTCAGAAATTCATTTTTCTACCTCGTTGGGATTTTACAAATAGATTTTCTTTATACTTTAAATAATTTAAAAAAGAAACTGTTCATACCTACATTGAGTTACAAAATCAACCGGCTTACTTATTGTCTATGATAAGATGATAAGCAACTGATAAATGATCGCTGGGATCATTGTTTAGCAAAGCAGCAAATACTTCACGTTCTGTTGCATTACACGCTTGGCAAACTTCGTAAACTGCTTCCTGTATTTATTTAGGAACAGTAAAAACATTGGTATGATTAATTATTTTTGGTAAGAATATGAGCAAATAAAGTTGATAAAAATTTGCTGAAACCCAACTGGGTTGTATTTTGGAAATTTTCAGTCCTGATTTGAGGACCAAGTATTAGAACTAAAAGTATTTTTCCCAAGTACATTACTGGTTAAATATTCAGCTGGTATGTAGTAGGGGATGTGGTCAATTAGTGATAAAGTGCCAAATAACCCTTGTGTTCTTGTATTCACACGTTTTTTCCAACTCGACTTCTTCCTGCTTCATAATAGAATTTCAGAAAATTAGTTTTTGAATAAGTTACAGATGAGCCACCAGTTCATTGTAAGAGGACCTGGTAGGCTTAAATAATTTACCAACACCTGGTGCTGGTCACAGGAGTAAGTTAATTATCATCTTCCAGAATTCGAGCATTGTGAAGTGGTTAAATGTGTTGATCACTTCACTATGGCTCATTGATCTAGGGACTCAACTGTCAATTAGAGAGTCACAGGTTCGAAGCTGATCTACCGGGACAATCAGGTAATATTACTAACCCTGGCACAATAGGTGTGGCTCACGGCTTACTGCACGAACCTGCACTTGGTTTATGAGCGCATTTCCACCACTTAGGGGAATTTGCATCAGGACAAATGAGTTGGTTGTTGACAAAAACTCAGCTCAGACACAAAAAGCCCCTTACAATTACCAAACCATCTCACCTCTGGTGCTGACGTGATATCCAACTCAGCCAATTTCAACAGAGGATCTAGCATTTCCGTGTAACGGTTCAAGTCGTCCCATCTTATTTCAGTAAATTTAACGACAAGACACCGAGGCGAAACACAGAGAAATGACACAGGCAGTCAAAAATGGTAGAAATTTGTGAACAGAGATGAGACAATATTGAAATTCGGTATAACAATTAAGACGAAGATAACCTATGGATGCATTTGAGCCACTGAGATCGATTCTTGACCATGTTACCTAGAGCCCCAAACCCTTGGTTTCGACAGTCATGCCAACACCACCCGGAAGTCTACATTTATTAGAAGGACTCTGGCCGAAAGTTAGCAATTTCGTGGTCAGATGTTATGTTTTAGTTTGATCATCCATAATATTTTTTCCCGTCTAAACCCAATTCAGCTAACATCGGACGATGGAACAGACCACAAATAAGCATTTGCAACACATGTTTGAATCATCTAATTCGCTTAACATCCGTCCACCTCACTAAATGACTATTCTGTCCAAAACTCAACGCCTGACTTCTGCGCTACTACTGCGGAAGCGTCATGATACAAGGCTCATGCTAAGAAGGCAACAGTGGCCGAACCATTGAAGTCTTCTCATGTCCTCTAACTTTAATCTCCATGTTTCACAGCTTTGTAGTAGGACAGAGCGAACTGCTGTGCAGACGACTAGGTTCTTGATAACCAGTCGGATATCACGGGAGGGCCATCAATGGTGTGAGTCAGCATAAGCCAATAGAGTATTTTGTACCTGTGCAGCGATTTCGTCGGTCACTGACCCACCAGGGTTGTCCTATTTCCCAAGGAAATCGAAAGGTTAACAAGCTTAACCATTCCACTTTTTTGCTGAATACGGCACCAGCGAGGACCATTTCCGGAAAAACAAGTGGCATTTCGGTAGTGAGAAACCCATACCAAATATTCTCAAATCGCCACTCACAATATCCAGAAGACTCTGCATCCCCACACTACACGACCATGTTGTCTGCATACTCCAGGTCTACTAGCCTCCTGTGTTAAAGCTAGTCCCTGTAAAGTCAGATGTGAGACAGACCTTCATGAGCACGTCTATTACAAAGTTGGATAAGAATGGAGAGAGTGGACACCCTCGACGGACACCACATCTGATATCTCGCCATGGGATATAACACACCTGTAGGTGTCGGAATACAGAGCTATTAACAGGATGATGTACCTCTACTTGAAACCCATTCAAACTACAGACACTGCCATAAGACCTCTCGACTGACAAAATCAAATTCCACCTTCATATCAAGAAATACAGATAATGTTAGGCACCCGTGAGCCTGTTCCAGAGCCTGGAAGAGGGTGATCTAGTCAATATACGCACGACCAGGTTAGAAATTTGTCTGGTTTTCTCGGGTTTGCAATTTCCAAGCTTGGTTTAAAAATCCAATGATTAAAGAACCTAAGAACTTACAAAGTATGATATCCAGCTACCATTTGAACACGAATATATTGTGCTGAAATTCGTTCTGCCCTATAGTCGAATAGAGATGCACTCAGCAACCTTGCGTACATTCGTGCAGTAGGCAGTGAGCCACACCAATTATGAGGGATAATGATACTACCTGGCTTCCCATAACTCGGTAGATGGAGCGAGGTTCAAACTCTTGACCCGTTGGTTGAAAGTCAACCGCTTAAAACAATGAGTTAAAACTTCACCTGCACTATCATACGGTGGTGAGACATCGATAATGAAAACAGATATGAAGAGGCCAAAGGTTTCTGACAACAAGCGTTTTCGTAGCATTGCTCATGTATGGTGGTATTACCGTAAGCTCAATGTCAGTTTTGGGAGCAGAGCACTAGGCGATGAAGAAAAGTCTACCGCCAAAGTTATGAACTTCATCGACTGGAGTGGCTTTGACTTGTGTTGCCCATGCTACTCCGTTACTCACCAAGACAAGTGACGTTAGCTGAAGTAGGACAGTGTTGGAGAAAGCTCAAAGCTAATCAGACCAAGAAGCGGTACCAGTACATGAAGTCTTTAGTTTGAGCTGTGTAGGGAGATGTAGAATGCCTGACTGGTTCTCAAGATAATAGGAATCAATGACCGGAGACTCAGTGACACGGTTCAAAGTCGATAAAAGTGGCGAAAATGTACACATTCTTCTTCAACTTCGAGGTCATGAATATTCTCACTAACCTTCACTTATTTATCCTTTCTCCACTGATACACTTTTGTTTATCTTAATCACAAATTTTCTGTGCACTTGTTCATTCCATGTTTCTGTGAAGAGTTGCAACTTGAACCTATGCCCTTATGTCCGACATTCTACGTTAATTTATCTAGTTGATTTTAAATGACCATTTAAGGAAGTGCTTTTTCAGAAATTCAGTGTGCAATACAGTAATAATTTCCATTTCACGTTATGACAGATATCATAGCTTCTAAGCATAATCATCAAATTAACAAAAGAAAATTAGCGAGGAAAACCTTTCCTGACTAATTATTTTCCGAAGCTGCACATTCGTATTTCTAGTCGCAACGAGAAAATATGTTCATCTGTGGCTGACAGGTCAACACAAGGTCATCAAAGCCAAGAGAACAGAAGTGTAGAGTAGTGAAAAGATGAAGAACTGTTTCAACAATAAACGTGACTAGTTGACGTTTAACGTTATTTCCAGGCTGTTTAATACCTGAATTCAGTCATATTTCTGACAAATCCATGAATACTTCTCATCAGGATGACGACTTTGATAACTAGATATTTTTTTCATAGGACTGACAATAAATCAGCGTGCAAAGGCTGATTCAATCTAACACTTATGAAGCAATATGCTTTAATATGTATTATTCGTACTTGTTGGTACATTTAATATGGGGAAGGTCATATTCAAGTGTTCATTATCACTTCGCTATCTATTATCCTTTTATCGACGGTGTCAACAGTATCTTGATGGACGTTGCATATAGAATTGCAAGTGTTTCATGACTGAATGATCTAAATTTTGTCGGTTTTACGGAAAAAGTGAAATAACCTGATAATGGATTACGAAACAGCTAGGTAGCGACGAAATTTTATTTCCGATTAGAAACACTTATTTCCCTTAAACAGAAAACACGAAGTGAAATATCAGTAATGTTAGGAACTATGACTTTGCGAAAAATTCCAACACACTTATCATATGACCTAAAATAATTCATAAGCTGTTTACTTTTAACTAATTTAGACTTCAATGTGATCTGTATAGACTTGATAAAGGTCACTAGTAAGTAATAGATGCTTCTGAAGAAATACCTTATCAATGATAGACGCATCCTCGTCTCGTTCTTGAGGGAAAAGGTGACTAGGAAGATCGACTGAAAACCATGGATGACGCCTGATTTCCTCGATTGTCGCGCGTTTGATCGGATCCACAGTGATCATTCTTCGAAGAAGATCACGTACCTGAGCAAAAAGAACAATATTAACGAGTACATAATTTGAGCGGCCATTTAAATATTCTATTACAAAATGCACAGACCATATACGTTTTGTTTTAGTGTACCAATGTTATTCATATATATATGTGCAAAAAGGTGCTTATAAGCTACAGTTGTGTCAATGATTTCAAGTGGACAGTATCACTGAAAAATCCAGTTTGGAGTCATCATCATCAATACCAACATAGGACCAGGCATTACTGCGTAACTGTCCGAGTTGCCACACCTCATATCAGTACATCAAGTAAAAAGGCAGTGAAGTGCAACATGAAGATAAGAAAATCCAGTCAGAAGAAATATAAAGTACGAAAAGAGAGAAAGGAACAATGAGAAAATGGTGAGATTCGGTATAGCGTTGTCAAGATGAGGATAATGTGTGTATACATCTGTGCCACTGACATCGGCTCTGAGCCACATCACCTAGTCTCCAACCACTGGCTTCTTTTGTCCCACAGACCCCAACCGGCTAGTCTGCATCGCTCCATATGGCTCAAACCAATAGTCAAAGACTTCATGCATTAGCCGACCTTTTCTAACCTCCCTTTCCACTGAGAAGGCAGCATCAGCATGGCACTGCTGGTCATCGAAGGGAAACACCTTACTGCTGTCACACCTCATCCAGCTAGCACCAGAACAACTTCACCCTCAGACCCCCATCATAGTGTAGTAATTTACACCACAATGGTAACTGCTTTGTGTCTAACCACTATCCAACAGACCTTTCTGGTATTGTAGGACCTCGACGGAAGAAGCGTTCCATCAGCATAGCTCGTTGGGTCATTGTGATATGCAAGCCCGACCACCACGTCAAGGTAGCAGCTATCGGTTGGGAGTTTGGAGTATCACTGTATAAACGTTTTTGAGTATCACTTACCGGAAAATTATGATACAATTTTCTTTGCATTGTGAATAATTGCAAAATTAATGATTTCTTATACTCCTGATTTGCAAGAAATTGCACAACTAAATGCTGTACACTATCTTAAACTTAGAACACAACAGTTGATAGCCGAAGTGTATGGTGAAATACGGGTTAAAATTGCAGAACAAATAGCAATACTGAATCAGTCAAATAGACAGTGTTTCTGTTCATAACATACATTTGAGTTACATTTCATTGAGTTTCATGGAAATTATTTAACATCTTTTTAAAATCTTCCGGTTTCCATATCTTAAGGAATCGGGAAAGCGACTCCCTGGTGCAGCCAAATGTGACAGTCTAAACCAATTTCTTGGTACTACTCGTCTTTATTACTATCATCATACTAGCGGAGCTCACTACAACAATTTGAAAAGTTGGTTATCATACGTTAGTAACTATTATCATACCTAAAAGCTGTTGGTCATTAAGTTTAGAAATCCGTTTGGATAACAATAATTATTTCGACTAGTTGCTATGGGACGTAAAGTCAATGTAGTTTGAATCTTTCGCTACAATTTTTTACTTGAACGTTTCATTTATTTTACTTTGTCGATCATGAGATGTTATGAGTGTCTGAGTGAGAGAAGTACCGAGCAAGTATATTACGTAATTGGCAATCTTAACTCGAAGAGTTGTCATTTGAGATAAGACAGTGGTGTTCACAAATTGTTCTGGTAGATTTGCCAACAGATTTAATCCTCAGAACGTTTGATATTGTACAGGCTGACACAGTACTTAGACGACTTTGTCCCGCTAAGTAGAGATTGTGACAACATAAGCCGTTAGGCAGTTTTGCCGTGTCCTATGCAGAAAAAAAGCGGATTTTGGAACACCTTCAGAGAAAATTGGAGTGTTTGGCTTGCACTTCACACTCGTTAAAGGTAAGGAGATACTTCAGAACTGGTCTGCAGTGACGCTCAGATTAAGGATAGGGAGTGAAGAGGTGAAATACCTTCACTACTCCACCTCAAGAATTGCGTCAGTCCTAGTGCGCTGTTTTGTGACGAGCTCTACACTCGGATACGCAAACATACTATTTCCGATGCTGATAAGACCATCTATTAAAAAATGAGTGTAGTGCTCAGTAATTCATTTTTTTTCTAGTATAGCGACATGTTATGCATGCCATAATATCGTCTACTTCGACACATGATACCGGTCAAATCAGGGCTGAGATGGAAGAAGACCAAGGGAAGCCAAATCGATACATGGTGCCAATCCATGAAACTTGATTGTTGGCATGAGCCGCGTATGAAGGTTGACTTCCCCGCTTGGATCTTTGATAATTTAGGGATTGAAAGTTAGAGCCTCTTAAAGATATGGCTGGAAGTCGGTCACAATAATGCAGATCCATAAACTTTAAAATACTTGGATTTTTGAACATAACCATGAACAGTTTATCCTATCGTACACTTTTATTTACTGGAACATCACTTTTTTACTATCTTACTTCCTACGTACTGTTCTGAAGCACAGTAATTTAAACGAATGCACCTTTGTAGAAGGTTCGATGATCTGTTTATCCCAAAATATTGCTTGCTTTCGGTTGTGTATACACACGAATACCCAACAGGTCGCACTTGAGCACAGATAAAACTACTATCGTTATTCAAAATGCAATCAACAGGAAAATACAGAAACTAAGTGAAATATCAGAAAACAACAAAAAGTGACAACTTACACCCGCGCTCAAAGTTTCAGGTAGATGGAAATAACCAGCTTTGATCTTTTTAAAAGTGTTGGAATATGTTCGTCATCAAATGGAAGTGTACCGCATAGCAGTGCATACAAAATTACTCCGCAAGACCATACATCCACTTCTGGACCAGCATATAACTTTCCTGAAATCACTTCAGGAGCTGCATAATTTGGTGACCCACAAGAGGTGCGCAGAAACTCACCATCTTGCATCATATTTGATAGTCCTAAATAGTAATGAATCATGTAGGTATTATTCTGTCAAAAAGTCAATCAATAAATGTTGATGTGTGGTATAAGACAGTTTTTAAGCACTAATAAGATTCCTTACAAGTGAGTTTTAACAAACGGTAGATGAAAATATTATTACTTAAGGGAATAAATGAAGCAAATAAGTGATTTAAAAATATTGGTAACCAATACTTAATAACGCTGATCAAAATCATTTTCAGAAGCGCACAAGTTTTGTGCAGGGTAACTACAATACCTTGCTGTACAAACACCGGTAAAAGTTATTAACACCGAAGACCTGAAGCACGAATGAGGTGTCTACTTTTAAAAGTAGGCTAGAGTAAACAAGTGAAACTTACCATATCCTGATAGTATGGTTCGAGAATTCGAAAGTTTACTCTTAGTAATTTGGTAATGTTTCAATCATTTAACTTATTACATTTTTTGATAGGTAGGTGGTGCTGTTAACCTTTCAGGATAATTTTAAATGTAGCTCTTAATCCTATATGCTATTAAATTAAGGGGAGATATTCACTTGCTGCACTTGAAAAACACTTTAAAAGCAGTTCTGCAAATCTGCAAAATGCATTTAGAACATCCAAACTGCAACATGTTTCTTAAAGACTGATGCGTAAAATAGGGGGTCTGAAATGAAGAGGCTGAATGTGTTGGCCACTTTATCTACTCATCAATTTCGATGAGTTGGCCCCAGACGTCATCTTGATAGACAACACCTGCCAGCTTATTGCGATTGTGATGACATAATATCTGACTATTAAACCTAAGCGTACTTTACGATACTGACTATATGACTCAAAATTATAACATGTATAGTTTGTATTTTAAATCTTTAGATTAAAATATCCATATAGCATTGCATATAAGTGATAGATGACTAAGCAAGGAAGCTTGACTTGAGGTGGACAGTTCTACGTGATCTAGACGCCCATAACGCATAATCACTGAGGTGTAACTTAGCCCATGACTCGCCAAGGAGAAAAGATATGCAGAAATCCTGACAAAAATTATTAATAGTGACAAGGAAACATGCATGTTAGGTAGTGTAATGAACACTAACGGCAGATAACAAGGTAGGACTAACCGAAATCGGCAATCTTCACATTTTGATTAGAATCTAGAAGCAAATTTTCAGGCTTCAAATCCCTATGCACAACCTTGTGGCGATGGCAGTAAGCGACGCCAGAAATTATTTGCTGAAAAAACTTCCTAGCATCCTTTTCGGACAATTTGCCAGACTTCACGATAAAATCAAACAATTCTCCGCCACTAACGTACTCCATTATCATGAATATATCAGTTGGAGTACTAATAACTTGATACAATTTAATGATATGAGGATGACGGAACAGCCAAAGATTGAGGATCTCACGACGCAACTTCCCCGCAACATCAAGAGCTTTGATTTTATCTCTGTTTACAATTTTCACAGCAACTTGAACTCCTGTGGACTTGTGTATGCCAACTTTAACTTTCCCAAAAGTGCCAACACCCAAAGTTTCGCCAATTATGTAATTACCAATGCGAACTTCTGGGTTACATTTTGGCATAACGCGCCTACCTTCTGCCATAATCTGAATATGGCGCTACAGCTGTGAATCAAAATCGCCTCAATTTCTAACTCTACCTGCTTTTTTCTCAGTCTCGTATAGGTGATCAAATAGTGCCATTATTTAACTAACTGTAATTAAAAAATTAAATGATATCGTCATTGACGTTGAATTCAAAATTCTTGAATTTTCGTATTCAGAGAGGCAGGGCTGTCGTCAACCTGTTCAGGCGGGTATGCAATGTGACACATGCAACGAATGGTTCCATAGTGCCCGCACTGACCTAACGCAAACTGAGTACACCAAACTCAGTAAGCCCGGCAGCAAGTGGCATTACCGCTTGTGTAGATCTGCACTAGACGATGACCTTGAAGACATCAGTATGCTATCGGAATTAAAAAGCCGACTGAAAGTAGATCATAAAAAAGGGAGGCTGGAAAACTCAAAAGCAGTGCCTAAGCACGAGGGTTATGGAATTAGAAAATCGTCTGGCGGAAAAAGTGCTCAAGTCACTCGACAAGAGCGAGGGTCTGGTTTGACGGAGGACATGATGCACCTCAGTAGTGCAATAACATCAACTGTCGTGCAGTCCTTCGCTCGGATTTTGTCATCAACAGATGAGGGGCGAAATCAAACGGCCATACCGAACAAAGACAGTCAAGATGGAGAATGGGTAACCGTTGTGCAAAATAAAAACAAGGGAGTTTCAACTCCAGTCAAACCTATCGGTCTGGAAAGGTGAGGAACACAAGGAATAAACCCAAGTTGGGTAATCTGGAAATCAGAGAGGCTAAACATGGGTCCACAGGAAGGTGAGATGGACATCAGACCAAGCGAGTCACTAACGAGCTTGTCAAACAAGCAAACTTGTTGTCCACGAACAGAGGCAAAGCTGGAGAAAAGATGAAAGCTCAACAAAAAACGACCCAGCGTCAACAGTTGACAAGACATACCACTGTCCGGAATGATTCCTTGATGGTCATGAACCTGACCGACAGCCCTGAACTCCTATATAGCCTTCGGGACAAGAATGATAGTGTTCTTCGGAGAACGCATGCAGAAAGCTCAACCTGGACCACATAAAACCAGTGGCTGCAACCAGGCCCTCTCGCGATCCCGATCCAATAACTAAGGGCGAACCCCGTCTTTTGAGGCTCATACTCCCCAGCCCAGATGATGTCGAGGATGTACTCTCTGCATCTCACGCGCTAAAAGCTGAAGTGGAAGTTAGGATACTGCTGGACATTCCACACTCTGAGAGAGAAGCCCTAAAGAATCTGTCGGGTGACAACCTTGACGCCTACTTCAGGGGGAGAAACCTAATAGTGCAAGGCATACCAGAGAACCCGGACACCGAGGATATTCACTACTATTCTAGCGAGTGGAAGTTCCTCAAGGATACTATGAACCTGAAGGAAGTAACCACCCAAAGCGTCTCACGGGTGCCCAAAAAAGATGATGACCCCAGACCAAGGCTAATCAAAGTGGTCTTTTCGACCTCTCAAATGGCAGCATCCACACTGGGTGTTTTCTGAGCAAGCAGAAGTCGCCTGCCATCTGCGGTCCGCATGCGGCCTGATAGGTCGCAGCACGAAAGGCTGCAACAAAAACAGAAAAAGCTGGAACCAGTTGTATCTCTGGAAGACTGCCGAGACGCAAAAAACGGGGAAGGGGCGGGGAACACTACACTAGTAGTCAGCAGTTAGGCACATTCCCAGCCCCCACGCCTGGGGATCCAGCCAGCCAACTGGAAAACGGAAGGGGTGCAGGTATTGCATTCCAAGTACGGAGCATAAATTACATCTACACTAGTGCGCAAAGTTCACTGAACAAACTTGACGAGCTGTGGGACCTAAGCGGTGGCACTTGTGCTCACCCTATCGGTGTTACTGGGATGTGGGCTTCACCTGACATGTCAAACCAGGAGCTAGCAACTGCTAATACCATGCTATTTCGCAGTGACAGGAAGGCGGGTAGGGGGTAGGGTAGCACTTTGCGTCAGCTCCTTTCTCTCAGCCCACCAAATCCACATCCAAGAACTGGAACGCCCTGAAGAGTCAGTTTGGTGCACCATAAAGCCGTCCAAGACTGCAAAATGCTTGGTAAGAGTCATTTACAGAAAGCCGTCTGCAGACTAACAGTATGACAACCGGATGCTAGAGGCGATCAGTTGCTCTCTTAGACTGCGGCACATACATATACTGATTTTAGGAGACTTTAACCTACCGAAATTCACCTTTGCAGATCACACGTTTAGCGGGAGTGACGATTCCACTGAAGCCAGATTCTTCCACTTGGTTGAGAGGATGGGGCTTATGGAAAATGTGAGGACGGTAACGTGAGCTGGGGAGGCTCAAACCGCATCTCACTTAGACTACGTCTTCACGAAAAGAGAATTCCTGGTGGACAACTTGGCAATCCCACCTCCTTTAGGCAGTAGTGGCCACGTTTGCGAAAATAATCCAATCAGATCTTTCAATGAACATTGTTGGAACTTCAGACGACTTTACAATTCGGCTCTTCTAACTGCACTGGAACAGACAGATTGAGAAGTTAACTATGCATGGCGAGAAACGAACACCCATTGAAAATTCATACCTGACAAGGGCATGCCTGCGATCAGTCAATCTGTTCCACCTTCGGGGCCGCAGTGCCTCAAGTTACCTAAGGTAATAAGGTACCATACTCGCAAGCCACTTAAGTTAAAGAGACATCACTGGACTAAACACGAAAGGATTGGCACCGATTGTAGGACCCTCAGTGATCGAACCAAGCGTTGAGCTAGCACAACGCAAACTGCTACTGCTCATTAGAGACACCTCTCCGGGACCAGATAAAGTCCATCCGGTGGTACTGAGGGAGGGAGCTTCAATCTTGTCCGAACCTCTGGTAAGTTGTTCAAGAGTTCTCTGAGTCAGGAGATAGTACCTGGTTCTTGGAGGCTGGGCCACAAAACACCAATCTTCATAGGGGGTCAACGAAGCAGTCCAAAGAAATACAGACAGGTGACACCTCTATCCATTCCTTCCAAAGTGGTGGAATCATTAATACAGGATGGACTGAGGGATAGCCTCACAACCTGGATTTCGAAAGGGGTACTCCTGCATTAACGATATGCTCACTGCAGTAGATAGGTGGTCCAGCATTGTCGACTGTCGAGGACAAATTGATGCTATCTACCTAGACTTCGCTAAGGCGTTTGACCGTGTTAATCATGACTGTCTTATTGATAAAATGAAATTGTTTGGGATTCCACTTCCTCTCATTGACTGGTTGTCTTCATATCTACGAGGCCGTTCGCTTAGAGTCCGGGCGAGTTCCTTTGTATCTAAAGAAACAGAATGTCCTAGTGGTGTTCCCCAAGGTTCAGTACTAGGGCCTTTCCTTTCTCTGATATACACAAACGACTTGCCTCAACAGATCTCTTCCGAAATCCTCCTTTTGCGGATGACATGAAGCTCTGGAGGGAAATCAAAAGTGAAGACTTGACTGGACTTCGCACCTGGGCAGTCAACAATGGGCTTGTATTTAATTTTGAGAAATGCAAGGCGATACGCGTAAAACATGAAGTATCTCGTGTATACAGCCTCAATGGCGTGGAACTTGAAGTGTCATTGACGGAAAAGGATTTGGGGGTGTTGGTCCTCCAGGACTCAAAACCGTACTGCCAACTGTGACAGAAACGCACTTCGTGGGAACTTGGCGCTAGTAACTCCCAGGCGAATTTTCAAACAACTCGATCATGGATGCTTCCACCAAATTTTTAACAGCTTCATACGGCCTCACTTGGAGTCGGAACCATCGTCTTCTCCCTTATCTCCTGAAGGACAAACCAAGCTTAGAACGCATTTAGAGGCACTGGACAGAATCTGTTCGAAAACTTAGGTCCGAAACATACGAAGAACAGCTGGTTGCGCTGGATATGTATCCTCCGTGATTAAGAAGACTGAAAGGTGACTCGATAGTGACTAACAACATTCTGAGCACGCCTGGCCATCTACTCCGTCACTTGTTAAACCCTAGCTGCAGCGCCAACCTTGGAGGACACGCACAGAAGCTAAGCCTGGAACATAGCGGGCTGGATGTCAAGCACAGCTTCTATTCCCCAAGAGTTGTTAAACCCTGGAACGCTCTTCCTGAGGGTGTGATCTAGGCTACTTCGTCTGAATCTTTTAAACGCCGACTGGACACCCACTTGATATGTGCCCGGGATCTGCCCTGAACTACGTGAATTTTCACATTTCAATCGCCACTTTTCCACGTTTCTTTACTTATAGAGCAGGTTATCAACCAAAAGGAGTGGTGATACACGGACTGCAGGCGCGGAAACCAGTTAGGCGAAAGCTTCTTCTGTTCCGTCAACAGCCATTTCAACCATTTGAATGTGGTGTTCAAAATTTTTGTCAGGTTTGCATGTACGTGGTGCTAAATTGGAGTCCTTAAGTCAGTAAATACTGCACTGTCCTGGTTCATGTTAATACGTGTACACGTGTATCTGCACCTACAAATAATGGATACCACCCGGCTAGTTTTAGATCCGACAGTTAGTCGCTACCTTGGCACGGTGGTTGGGCCTGCATATCACAATAACCCAACGACCTGGGCTGGTGGAACACTTGCTCCTTTGAGGCCCTACCACACCAGAGGGGTCTGTTGAGTAGTGATGAGTCAGAAAGCAGTTACCATTATGGTGCGTATTGCTACCATATGATTGGGATCTGAGAGCAAATTCGTACTGCTGCCAGCTGGGTGAAGTGTGACAGTGGTAAGCTCCGCTGTTGGAAGACCACCAGTGCCATACTGACACTGGCCCCTTGTGAGAACAGGGGGTTAGAAAAGTTTGGCCCCGAAAATAGAACTTTCACGCCTCGTCACATAATGCCGATACCTGCGTCAAGGGTTCGTAGTCGGATTCAAAAACGAAAACCCTAAATCATGAACTTTTGAAGTGGTAGCGTGTGACTGGACTCAAGCAGATCTCCAGTAGGCCCTACTGTTACACACTGTCACTTCTTTTTCAG